GGGACTGAACCAACTAATATTAATTTCCACTGACAAGGGGCAGGATTGCTTTCTAATTACTGATAGATTTAAGCTGGTGTCTTGGCTTTCCCATTCCTTTTAGCACCTCCCTTTCTTCATGTGTTCAATACTTTTTCCGTGTTTCATTCTACTTTATTACACAGAAGTGTGTGTATATATATATATATATATATATTGTGTGTGTATATATGCATACAAATAATATCAGAAAACAGTGATCCAAAAAATAAATTAAGTTTATTTAGTATGTTTTATTTATTTTTATTTTACCACCAAGTTATTTTTATTTATTTTATTTATTTTTTTGAATCACTGTTTTCTGAAGTTATTTGTAAATTTATTGAATTTTATTATTTTACCTCTATGCCTCTTTTTTTTTATTACTGTTTTCTGAGTGTATTTTGTTTTGTTTTTTTGCAAGGCCACATGTCTGACCTCTAAATTGACAACTTTGTTTGCGAGTGCAAACATAATCAAATACAACATGATACAAAGACGCATATTCATAGTTATGCACATATTGCACTGTTTAATGAATGACATCTGTTCAGACAGACTGTAGTTGTGTTCCTGACAGCTCCGGCACAGATATGATGAGGATTTTAATCATGAGCCCTGTTTACGCAGTGGCCACAAAGCCCACTGGGCAGTCGTCTCAGGTGAGACTCAACAATTATGTCACAAAGATATATGACGGAACAGTACTTCAGTCTAATAATTTCTGTCTTTATCCAGGTGTATTATTAGGCTTAAGGCAGGGGTGTGTGGACAGCAGACACTTCCCCCCTGACCTCACACTTCCCTGGCTGCATCTCTCTCAGAACGAGGCTTCTGTATCATGGCCGACCGATGACGTTAAAGAGGTGTTTGTTCTGGCTAAGCAGGGGAAGAGTCTACGCTACCAGCTGTGGAAGTTTGAGTTGGTAACACAGAGCAACAGTCAACTCAAGGAGATGGACCCCCAGAGAGCCAGCGATGGGACGAGGTACGTACTTCCTCCTGGCGGCGTACAGGACGGTCTAGCGGGACAAGTGCTGCTGCTCCACACTAACACACAAAAGAGCTGATCAAGAGCACCAAAGACTCTTCTGCAGGCTGTATGAGCTCTTTCAGGAGCTGGTCGCACACCTGTATTTTCAGTCCTTGTCCACTAGGTGTCCTTATAGTTTGAGTGTTTCTAAAGGTGCTACGTGAAACATCAATTACTCTCTGTATGCAGAAAAGGTTATTTATATTAGATAGGATATTAGGATTTTGCAATGAAGAATGATTACAGAGATGGATTCGTATTTGTAGTTTGGTTTGAAGTACATTTCACAAGCAAGTGGTCTTAGAGAAATTTGTTTTGACATTTTGTGGTTCAAATCCTTCTCTCTTCTCATTGTGGTGTCTGCTAGCTCTCAAGTTTGTACAACAATAATGGTTCTGACTTGTATTTAACAGCATTTAGATAGTTAACTGTTTTGTTGACCAGTATGAGGTGATCCTCTAGACCAGTGGTTCCCAACCCTGGTCCTGGAGGCACCCCAACACTGCACGTTTTGCATGTCTCCTTAATCAAACACACCTGATTCAGGTCATCAGCTCATTAGTAGAGACTCCAAGACCTGAAATTGCTGCGTCAGAGAAAGGAGACATGCAAAATGTGCAGTGTTGGGGTGCCTCCAGGACCAGGGTTGGGAACCACTGCTCTAGACTAATCAGAACATTCAGTTCGGTTCAGGACAAACAAAATGAATGGAGGATGTAAGTCAGATGTCATTTACTGATGACCCTCAGTAATAGAACAAAATGTTTGGCTGTTCTGATGTCATCCAGCGGTTTCAGAACCCTTCTGTTGTGCAACTTGAGGAAGAGCTGCTCTCCGCACAGGAAATTATGACAGAGGAAAACATCACTTGGCAGGAATAGAACATTTACCGTAATAAAGTGAGCAGTATCCTTGTAATCCAAATCATGTCCAGAACGTCCTCCTCACTCA